GGGCCGCCCGCCCGGCCCCTCCTGACAGCCTGTTCTTATTTTGCTCGCAGATCGAGAGGACGGGCCCGCGCCGGCGCTGCCCCACGGCCGCTTCCACGGCTGCTTAAAGTGGTCAATGGTCTGTCTGTGTAAGTAACGTACCAGGCACCACGGCCCTCCACCCACCGCCTCGCGCCCACGTGGCGTCCGCCACGCGAGTCCTGCCTCCTTCGAGAGGGGCTCCGAGAGGGGCAGGTCCAGGAGAGGGGAGCAGCAGGGCCCCGAGTCCACGGACCCTGCGCCACACGCTGTGGGGCTGCAAGCAGGTGGGCAGCCTCTCTGGGCGGCTGTTTCCCAGCGGCACAGCAGGGCGAGGGAGGCCGATCCCAGAGTTCTGAGAGGCGGGGCGAGTCCGTGGCTCAGCCGTCCCGAGGGCAGACCCCAACCCACGCGGAGTCCCAGCTCCTACTCTTTCTGGAAGGGGGACCTTGGGCGGGTACAACCCCCTGTGCCTCAGTTTCCCCACCTGTAAAAAGGGAGCATTCCTAGCACTTAGTGCTGAGGGTGGCGCAGGCAGCCAGGAAGCGACACGGGAGGCCTGGCACACGCTGGCGGGGGGGGGGTGGATAGTAGTCACGAGGGACGTTCCGTCGTAGCGCCTGGCCCACGGCGGGCTTCAGTAAGGGGAGGCTCTTAAGGGGCAATGTGTCTCTAGGACCCGCCCGCCAGCCTCGCGGTCATGCCACACTCGAGCCGTCAGACGGACGCCGGCCCATCCAGTTCAAGCCGGTTCAGCAGCACAGCCCGGTGTGGCCGCGGCGTGGCTGCCGGGCGCTGAGAACGAGGACGACAGGCCCCTGCACGTTGCTCGTGTCCTAAGGTGCTGTCTCCGTGGCTGCCATCGTGTGCGGCCGTGCGCTGGCGTCTGGCACGCGGCCCTGGACCAGGGCTGTTGTCATTGGCCGTGTGGCTCTGGGACGGTGACAGTAGATCCCCAGGTCCAGGGAGCTGCCCGGAGCCCCTCGGCCTGGAGGGTGGGAGGGGCTGCCTGTGGGGCCCTCTGTCCCAGCCCGACCCCTGCGAGGCCCTGAGGCTGGGGGAGCCACGGGGCCGCTAGCGTGTGCCCCCAGACCTCACCCGGGACACGTGTGTGGTCTAACTTAGTAACACACCTGTTGCGGGAACGAAAGCACTTGTGCCGGGGCTATTTTCGGCGTCTCTTTAGCAAGTGCTGAGACCGCCCGCGGGAGGGAGTCGGGCAGCAAGCGGTGAGCAGGCCGCGGCAGGACCCGGGCGCCCAGGGCGAGGCTGGTAAGCGGGCCGCAGGGAGGCCGGGGGCTGGCGGTGGCGGCACGGACGGCGGCGTGGCTTAGAAGCCACTGGAGGGTCCAGACCCCTGGTGACCGTCCAGGTTGGCCTTGAGAGGCGAGCCTCCTCCTACGGGGACATCTCCCGTGGTGACAGGCCACCTCCCGGCCTGGCCGGGTGACAGTGAGTGGCCGTCCTCCGTGTTGACCGGGCGCATGTGTCAGTGTCCACGGTGGGGTCGGCCGGAGCTCGCCAGTGAGGGGAAGATAGTGCCACGGGGGGTCCTCTGGGCAGAGCCTTAGACGGGAGGGACTGGGGCCACCGTCCACCCCGACGCGAGGGGAGCTGGAGAGCGTGGCACCCGCTGGGCCATCGTGGCTGCGCGTCCGTCCTGAGCCCCAGGAGCTTCCAGGATCGTTTGGACCAGGGGCGGCAAACAGGTTTCCATTTGCACGTGCGTCTCCCGGGGTAGCTGTGTTGAGAAGGATTCAGAGCCCCGGTAGCCCCTGGGTTCCAGTCCTTTAGCCTGTCCGTCAGGGGAGGCAGCTCACACGCTCAAGTTTTGCGCCGTCCCCACCTGCGACGGGGTTTTCTAGAATCCTGCGCGGTGGGGGGCGCTTGTTACCGGGCAGAACCACCACATCCGCACGTAAAACCAACCAGGCGTCTCGGCACTGGGGAGATAATCCAGGGAGGTGTGCGGCAGGACGGGCTCCCTGGGGCCCCCGTGGAACTCAGGGTGGGTGGAGGGACACTTGCAAATGAGGAAACTGAGGCCAGGCCTGAGTCCAACCCACACGGCACTTCTGGGCCTGGCGGCAGGACCCTGCTCCGCACCTGGGCGGCCTCCCCGGGCCCTCGAGGGCAGCCTGCGTCTGGCTCAGTGTCCTCTCGGCCTGGGGCATCTGAGGGGCTCTGCGGGGCCTGAGCCGTGCGGCCCCCTTGCTGTCCCGGCCTCTGCCTTGCGGCGGTGACAGCACGGCCCGCGGGGGAGGAAGGCCGGCCGGGGCCCTGCCCCACCCCCGCCACCGTGGACGTCCGAGCTCGGGTCCTGCTGCACCTGGTGCCCAAGACCCCACCAGTGGTCGCTCGGCCTGTGGGGTGGCCACGGCGGGAGGGCATCTCTCAGAGCCAGGCCACCCTGCTGCGCCTTCTCCCGCTTGGTGGGGGCGTGTGATGACGGCAGGTCTGCGCGCGTGCAGGGTGCGCCGGTGGGCCCTGGACGCGGAGCATGACAGCCTCTGGGAGGGTGGAGCCGGGGGACGTTGGTGCCGCCGCAATCGCGCCTGAGGGTCAGGGCAGGAGGGCGCCCGGTGGAGGTGGGGGCCGGTTCGGGAGCCCACGGTGGGGTCCCCCGGGCCTGCGGTGGGGGCAGAAGTGACTGGGCCCAGTGAGAGCCGCAGCTGGGGAGGCCGGTCAGCAGCGGTGACCCCCGGGATGGGCAGCGCAGGCCTGGCCTGGGCACCAGGCCCCCCGGAGCGGGCGAGTGAGCCACTTCCCGGGTGTCCCCGACACAGGCCGCGGCCGCAGGTGCCAGGACGTGGCTGGAGCCCCGGAGGAGCTGGGCCCGAGGGGGCGGGTGGCTCTGAGCACCTGCGCTGCCGCGAGGGCGGGGACCGGCGCCGTGCAGACCCGCCGGACAGGGAGGGGCCGGGCAGGGTGCGCGTGCGGGTGGAGAGGGGTGCGTGGAGTCAGGACGTGGAGGGCCGGTTCCGGGAGCAGCGTGCGGCGGGCGTGTCCGTGTGCAGGAGGGCGCAGGCCGGCTGGGCCAGGTGCGCTGGGCCTCCCAGAGACGTCCAGTCCCCCTCCCCCCACCAAGGGCCCTGAGAGCCCTGTGACCTCTGACCTATCTGCAGACGCTCCTGGGGCCGGGACGTGGGGTGCAGGCGGCCGGGTCACCAGACGGCTGTCCTGGGCTCCCTGCCACAGGTGTGGCCTTGGCCTGTGTCACCCAAGGTGGAGGGCCGAGGACCTGTCCCAAGACTCCACGGTGGCCTCAGGCGTCGGCCAGGGCCAGGCAGGCGCGTCTCCGTGGCGACAGGGCGGCCCCTGCAGCCTGACCGTCAGCTGTCCCTCAGGTCACCTGCGTGTCCTCAGCTCGCACTGCCGGGGCCTGTGTGCGCAGGCGTCTGTGTGTCCTTGGGTGTCCCAGCCCCGCTGCTGCTCTCGGAGCCCCTCAGCCGCTGCTCCGGGCTGGGGAGGTCCCTGGGGGCGTTGCCTGGGGCTGTCGTGGCAGAGGTGACGGTCACCAGCCTTGTGGGGATGAACAGCTTCTTTCCCGAGTCCCTCCAGCCCCGGAAGGGGAGGCGCGAGGCCAATCTTGGGGTGCGGGGACGGAAGGGCCTGACCTTGGCCCAGAGCATGGCCAGGAGGCCACACTCAGAGCCAGGTCACCCCACAGCCACCGCCAGTGCGCGGGTCCCGGGGCGAGGGCGTCCCCTCCCTATGTGCCGGTGCCCCTCCTAGCATGGCCACGAGGACAGACGGGTGACACGCCCCAGGCACGGGGCACAGCGGCCCCGCGAGGGCCTAGGACCCCGCCGTCACCCTCGTCACTGCGGTCCCGTCTCATTGTCATCGTTGCTGTTGACGCTGTGGCCACCTTGGTCACCGTGGCCGTCGCTGTCGTCCTCGTTGCTGTCACGGCACTGCCAGCACTGTCACCCGCGGCCTTGACACTTTGCCCTGTCTCGTCACCGCTGTCACCGCCGCGGACATTTCGGTCATGTCCCCGTGTCCGGGCCTCGCGCTCACGCCGCCTTCCCTCCCGCAGTGATGAACGGCAGCGGCCACTCGCCGACCGCCGTCAGCGGGGCCCCGTCCACGCCCAGCGGCTTCAGCGATGGCCCGGCCTCCTCCTGCACGGCCGCCCTGTCCACGCAGCACCTGCCCCCGGCCTGCGGCGCGCGGCAGCTCAGCAAGCTCAAGCGCTTCCTCACCACGCTGCAGCAGTTCGGCAGCGACATCTCCCCGGAGATCGGGGAGCGCGTGCGCACGCTGGTGCTGGGCCTGGTGGTGAGTTGGGCGGGGACTCGTGGGTTCCCGGAGGACGGCCACACTCGAGCGGGCTGCGTGCCGGTGGGGAGGGGGACTCACTCTCGCGCTGACCGGCGCCCTCCGGGGGCCGCCCCCGGCTCTCAGGCCACCGCCCACCCCCGCGCGGTCCCCAGGATGGTGCTGACAGGAGGCGGGTCTTCTCCCCAGAACTCAACGCTGACCATCGAGGAGTTCCATTCCAAGCTCCAGGAGGCCACCAACTTCCCGCTGCGGCCGTTTGTCATTCCCTTCCTGAAGGTAATGGCGGAACCCCCGGTTGGTTCTATTATTATCGTGCGACGCGCCAGGTACCGTGAGGCTCAGGGACGCAAACGTGAGCAGGCAAAGCGCCTCCCGGAGCCAGCGTGGAGGTGGGGGGAAGGTGACCAGTGGGCAAGCTCTGCGGAAGCTGGAGATGCGTGACGTGCAGAGAAACATTCCCCAAGGCCTGCGGGGTGGGCATGTTGGTGGGGGCAGAAGAGCATGAGGGAGGGAGCTGGTGGGCAGTGGCACAGAGGCCTCCAGGCAGCAGGAACAGCACGTGCAAAGGCCCTGAGGCAGGAGCTGCCCACTGTGAGCAGCAGCGAGGCGGCCAGTGTAGCTGGAATGGAGAGAGGCGGAGAGGGCGGGAGGCTGCGCACAGGCAACAGGCAGATGGGTAAGCTGGGTGCGTGGTGGGCATGAAGTGTCAGAGAAGTGGGTGGTGCAGTCCAGCTCGGAGGATGAGCCGTGGGCGGTGGCGGTGGTGCCTGCACACTCAGGAGGGCCGGCTCTGGGCCCAGCCCACACCCACCGAGGTGGAGTCTGCACTTGAAAAGGTGCCGGTGATTCGCGTGCAAAGGTGGGACGGGCACAGGCAGAGTCCGGCCAGCGTGGTCCCTGCGCCCCCCACTCCCGCACGACGGCGGCGTGTCTCTGAGGGATGAGGGTGAAGCGTTCGCACGTGTATTTGGCCACGTGGCCCTACCGTGCCGAGCTCCTCCCGCGGTGAGGTCCACAGAGCTTAGCCGGGAGGAGCTGGCCCGGCCGCCCCAGGGCCGCACGGAGCACCGAGGCCTCCCGCAGCCCTGGGTCGGGGGCAGCCAGGCCCCTTGAGGACAAACCACACCAGTCACTCCCGGTGCGGGCCTGCCCCTGCCACTCGGCAGCCACGGGCCAGGGCCACGCAAGTCCTCTGTGCCTCGGTGTCCGCAGCTGCAACATGGGGACCCCTCTCAGCTCGCGGGAGGTCTGCGCGAGGGACGAGTGTTCGCGCTCGGCACGTTCGGTGCACGTCGGGCATCGTCGACATCAGGGCTCTGAGTGTCCCTTAGGGCAGGAAGGTTCCGGAAAGCTCCTGGGCACCTCCTGGACCCCGCGAAGGGGGCGGCAAAGCCACCACCGCTGTTCCCGACGAGCGGGCGGGAGACTGAGGCCCGGAGCGGGGCTCGCACCTTGTCTGTCCCACTCCGGAGCCCACGGCCTCGGCAGGGCCCCGCCGGTCCCCGACCCCTCCAGTCCCTCACCAGGGGGAATCCGTGTCACACCCATGGCCCTCCCTCCTGCCGCGCCCCGCCGCGCTCGCTCCTGAGCTGGCCACGGAGGAGGAGCCGGAGGCTGCGTCCTGACGCCCTTTGCAGTTTGTCAGCGGCCGTCCCCTTGTCCCTTGATCCTCTTTAACTTCCTGCCGACTCCCCGCCGCCCGTCTTGGGGACGCAGCGCCTGCCTGTGCTGTCGGGTCGGACGTTTGCACCGACGCCCTGGTTTACCGAGGAGCGCGGAGACGTCTCGGTGCCTTCTGCGTCTCCCCGCCAGGCCCCGGGGACCCGCAGCCACACCCCAGCATGGTGCCACCCACCCCACAGCGGGCGCAAGGCAGGATACCCCCGGCCCAGCACTGCTCTGTGTAGGGTCCTCTCTGCCTCAGTTTCCCCTCTGCACACAGCTCTCGTGAGGCTATGCAGGCCAGCTGGTGGCTGGACACGCGGCCGGCAGGTCGTCAGAGACATGAGGCCTCTCAGTCTCCCTGACCTGGAGCTTCTGGGGCAAAGCGGGAGGGTCAAAAATAAAAATAAAAAACATCGTGGCCAGTCCTGTGACCAGGTGCTGGCCCGAGCCCTGGCCCTGCGGTCCCCACAGGGGAGCAGCTCCCACCCCACCTGTGGCCGCCGCCGCTTTAAACTCAGCGGTGGGGGGGGGGGGCCAGCCTTACGGGGCTGGACACAGGCCTGGCGACCCCCTCGGCCGCCTCTGAGGGTTCCTGTCTGTGGCCTGGACGTGGGAGTGGCTCCTTCCCGAACGTTCACAACCCCCGGGCCGGCGGGGGGGCCCCTTGGGGGCGGGCTTCGGGGCCTTGTTCTTGGAAAGGGCGGGACTTGGGGTTGGGGGTGCGGCCGGGGGCCTTGCCGGGTTCCGGCCTTGGTTCGGCGTTGGTTTCCCCTTGGGTTGGGTTGGGGCGGCCCCCCCCGGGTTTTGGGAAGGGGTTGGTTCACCCCCCGGGGGCCGGCGGGTTTTCCGCGGTTGTTTTCCGGTTGGGGCGGGTTCGGGGGGTTCAGGTGGGTTTCCCAGGGCCCCCCGGCCCTTGGTTGTTGAGGTTGGTTGGGCCTTTTGCGGGGGCCCCGGTCGGGCGGGTTTTGGGGGCGGGGTTTGGGGCGGCGGAACGTTCCCAACCCCCCTTGGTTCACTTGTTTTGTTTTTTTTTTTTTTGCAAATATTAACTTCCTTTGGCTTGAGGTCCCGTCTGTGAAGAGGGCAGTGTCAGATGGTGGCGTTGGGTCCAGGAGTATTTTGTGACCAGCTCAGTTTGTCCAGCATTTTCCTGGTGACGCTCCTGGGGTGTGCTGGGCTCCTGGGGACAGAGGGAGTGGCTGCCTCCGAGGTGGCTTTGAGGTCAGGCTCCCACAGTCCCCACCGCTCTCTGTGCTGGGGGAGCCCCCAGCGGGGGGCCACACACTGGGGTCCCTGCAGCCTCTCCTGAGCCTGCCCCGGGCACGGCAGACGCTGGGAGGAGCCGCCCACCCCGCCAGCCCTCCACCCACGCCCCGGCTCCCAGCTGGCCCGAGCCGGCCAGGAATCCAGATGTTTCCACTGCCCTGACAGCGACCAGGGATGCCTGCCTGGCCAAGGGGGGGCCCCGGGGAGGGGAGATGTCTGGCTCCACAGGCCTCTGGGGACCTCCGTCCCAGCTCACGCCCTTAACGTGCCCAACAGATGGCGGGTGGCCCGCGTTCAGCTGCCCAAATAGAAAACAGGCCGCCGCGCTCCGGCTGCCGCTGGGCCCCAGTGGCTGCGCTCACGGTGGCTGGGGAGGGTTGGCAGGAGGAGGCTGCCGTGGCAGCTTGGAGACGCATGAGAACGTTGGGGACTGTATTTATTTACAAATGCTTGGAACCGCTGGCTCCCGCAGGCGGCCCGCCACCGGGCCCGCGGCCAGCGCGCTCAGGGCCGCCTGCCTTGCGTGGCTCTGGGAAGACTTTACGGAGGGCACGTGAGGAGCCCGGCGGTGCACGCGGGAGGCGGGTGGGCACAGGGTGTCGGAGCCGGGGTCCGAATGCGGGTCCTGTGGGCCGGGCAGTCATTCAGCCCCGTGCTGTGGGCCCATCCCCCAAACACAGCCAAGTCGCAGCGGCGTCGCCGGTGGTAACGTCCGTTTGTGCTGACCCTCACGGCCCAGAGCCCAGCTTCCTGCAGGGCTGAGGCTGGGAACCAGCAGGGCGTGGACGGGCGGGGCTCACTCCGTGGGGTCCCCTCGGTGCACGTCGGGGTCCAGAACTGAGGCCCTGCAAGCGGCCACCCTGGGGTTCGTTAGCTGTGTGCCCAGGGCTGGCTGCTGCCCCTCTCTGAGCCCCAGTGTCCTCCTCTGTGGCCTGGATGGCGTGGTGCCCACCACTAACTAGCACCTTCCCCACGATGTACCACGGGAGGGACTTGGTGACGTGGAAAAGCCCCCACCAGGGAGACCGGAGTCTGGGCCTGGGTCCCCTGCACCCCAGATCGCTGTGGGCCCTGGCAGGACGCCGTCCTGCCTGGCCCTGCTGCCGCCCTCCCGCAGCGCCGTGAGGAGGGTCAGGCTCAAGGAGCGGGGGTCAGACAGTTCGTGCCACCTTTGCAGAGTCACACAGAGGCAAGGCTGGGACTTGAACCTTGCCCGCCGTCCAAGCCTCCCCCCTGCCCCCGCAGGCAAACCTGCCCCTTCTGCAGCGGGAGCTCCTGCACTGTGCCCGCCTGGCCAAGCAGACCCCCGCCCAGTACCTGGCCCAGCACGAACAGCTGCTGCTGGACGCCAGCGCCTGCTCCCCCACCGACTCCTCCGACCTCCTGCTGGACGTCAACGAGAACGGCAAGAGGAGGACACCTGACAGGTACCTGGGGAGAACCACCCCGGGGCCAGCGCTCGCCAGGCAGGCCTGTCCCGGGCTGAGGGAACGTGGGTCGAGACCGTCCTGCGTCCCAGGCAGGCGAGCTGAGAGGCTGGGAGGGGCCGCCACCCAGGCCAGCGCGTCCGTGGCCTCCCGTGGGCCATGGACCCGCTGCCCCGGGGCCCCAGGTGGGGAGTCTGTCCGGCTGAGACGCCCTCTGTGCTGGACGTAGACATCCAGGAGTCCGAGGTCCCCAGGCGGGGTCTTCTGTGTGGGCCACAGACGTGCTGTCCCTACTCTCCAGGGGGTGGACGGACGTCTCCTGCCGCCCAGTCCTGCCGCAAGAGGTCGGGCCCGGGAGCAGGAGGGGCGGCTGGGCTGGGCGCCAGGAGCTGGTCTAATCCTCTGTGTCTGTCTCCCCTCATGCCCCCTTTCTGCCCACGCCTGTCTCCCCTCGCCCCAACACCTGGGCTCCGTCAGACTTGTCCCGTAACCACTGCCCCGCCCCCACCTGCTCTTTGCCGCAGGACCAAAGAGAACGGGTCGGACCGTGACCCGCTGCTCCCCGAACACCTCAGCAAGCGGCCGTGCACCCTGAGCCCCGCCCAGCGCTACAGCCCCAGCAACGGGCTGCCCCACCCCACGCCGCCCCCGCACTACCGCCTAGAGGACATGGCTGTGGCCCACCACTTCCGAGACCCCTACCGGCCCCCCGACCCCCGGGAGCTGCGGGAGCGACATCGGCACCTCGGTGAGCAGAGTGCCAGGGACGGGACACGTATGTGTTAGCAGGAACATGTGTGTGCGCCTGAGCTTGTGTACGCGGGGGCATGGCCAGCAGCTGTGTGCACCTAAACCGGGAGACGCCCTGCCGCTGCCACCTGGCCTTGTCTGTCCAGGAAGGACACCGAGGGCGGGGAGGGAGCCCGCCTGGCTGGGCCGTGTCCGGGAGCCTCTGTCTTGGGGGCAGCCTGACCTCCCGTCTCGCACCCCTCGGGGCCAGGAGTTCCCCCAGGGACTGACCAGGCTGTGGCCACGGAGGGGTCGTCCTGGGGCCCCGGCACCCACCTCTCCCCCAGGCGGGTGGCCGTGGGCCTGGAGCTGACCACTGGGTTCCCGTCCGAGCTTGACGATTCTCCACACCCTGGGGTGTGTCACATGGCCCTCCGTGCCTCAGTTTGCTCCTCTGCCATCTGATCGACGGGGGTAGTTAGTGCGGGGTGGCGACAGTGCTCCGTGAGGCCCAGCTGTGGTCAGTGAGAGAGAGGACATCTCGGGGCAGGGCACCCACCACCCGGCTCCCCTGCATCCTTCACTCTGTCCCCAGAGCCGGGGGCAAGGTGCCAGCCAGCACTGCCGGACGCTGAGGCCCAGCGAGTGCGGGTCACCTGCCCAGAGCTCTTAGCCACGTCTGCCTGACCTTCCACCCCTCCCCTCTGCGGGGACCAAGGGATGGTCAGGCCTGGGACCCCCAGCGTGGAGACCGGGAGGCAGAGCCTGGAGGCCGCCCATGGGGAGCCGGCGGCGGCAGGGTCAGCAGAGGCCTCGCCCTGAACAAGCCGGTCTCCCCACCCCCACCCTGCGGAAGCTTCCAGGGCCCGGGCCCAGGCAGCAGGTGACGGCGTCTGGCTCGCTGCAGCCAGGGTCAGGCAGGTGATAATTCCCACCCGCTTCTGCTAATGCAAAAATAAACGCCAGCTGTCGGGCAGGCCTCAGCCGCCACTGTGGTTGGGGCATTGGTGCAGGCTGCAGCGCTGCAGGCGGCAGGGCAGGGTGGTGGACACGAGCTGTGGCCGCCACCTCCCTCCCCCTCTGCAATGTGGGGGAGCCATTTGGGGTCTGGGGGCTAGGAGACCTTTAGGGGCTTAAGAAGTCCTGACAGAGACCTGAGCCCCCAGGAAACACCAGTGCTGGGTCACCAGACGGGGCGGGGGCTGGGAACATTGGGCGTTTCCGAGAAGCATAGGTAGGAGCCGTCATCTTGGGCGTGGGGATGCGGCTGGAGGTCTCCTGCAGCCCGGTTTCTGGTTACCTGGGGGTGCCCCCCCCCTTCCAGTTCCTGGGGCCTGTTAAAACGAAAACCTTAGATAACTCAAGTTCAACAGAATTTAACTGAGCTGAGAACTCTGGGATCGGGCCCAGAGCAGGCTCTGAGAGCAGCGTGGGGGCAGCTGACCGGGCCGGCTCGGCGTCTGCGAGTTTGAGTCCGCTGCCTCAGCCACACGAGTGACGGTTCCGAGAGCGAGCGTCCTCCCAGCAGGCCGTCAGTGAGCTCCACGCTAGTCAGGGCGCAGTTCCTTACGTAAGGGCTCCACGCGGAGCCACCCGAGGCCAAGTCTAGGGTGGCTGGACCAGTGTCACCGGCCTGGGCTGAGGACAGCTCCAGCCGGAGCCGGCCTGGGCCCACACCTGCCTCCATCACTCCCCGCACGGTGACCCTGGGCAAATGGGTCCCCCAACCCGCCGCGTTCTCCGGTCTGTGAAAGGGAAAAAGGGAACGGGATGGAACTTCCCGCGGGCTGTCGCG